ATGAACTATTTGGTTAACGAGAACTGGAGACCTTTCTGACTGTGGTGCTGACAAGCAGGACTCCCAGAGAACAGATGGAGTCTTAGAAGAAACCATCAGAATTCTCCTTAGAAGCACATGTGTTCTGATCTGGGCTCATACGTCATCAAGGAAGACTAGCCACTAGAAAAGGACATGCTTGGTAAAGTGAAGGGCAGTGCAAACCAGGGAAAACCTCAACAAGATGGACAGACACAGAGCCAGAGCCAGAGCCAGAGAGAGTGCAGGCACCCAGGGACAGTGAGGTGACTCAGGGCCAGGAGCACATTGCTGGTGTGCAAACAGTGGCCATGGGTTATCAAGGTCAGCTCTTCCTCACAGTTAACAGGAACTAACAACCACATCAACAAGGAGACACAGCTGCTAAAAACACTGTGTGGGCCTGAACCCACACAGTCGTGAACAACAGTATCTGAATAAGACTTGTAGACTTGATAATAGTACTTCATCAGTTTGTACTTATATAAGATGTTAACAAATAGAGGTAACTATTTTAATAATGTTCTTTGTTGTTATTACGTGCTGTCAAGTTGCCTGTGACTCATAGTGACCCTATGTACAACAGCTCTGAAACCCGCCCTATCCTGGAATACTGTCTCTTACACACCTACCCCCATAACCCCTGTTACTTTGTCAATCCATTTCATTCAGGGTCTTCCTCTTCTACGCTGTCCCTCCACCCTCCTAAGCATGATGTCCTCCTCCAAGAACTGGTCCCACACGGCTAGCCACATGTCCAAAGTATGTGAGTTGAAGCTTCAAAATCCTTGCCTCCAAGGAGCAACTTGATTTCACCCTCTCCAGGATAGACTTGTTTGTTCTCTTGGCAATCCATGGTATATTCAATACTCTTCTCCAGTACCACAACTCAAAGGTATCAATTCTTCTTCTATCATCCTTATTCACTGTCCAGCTGTCTGATGAATAGCAAGTAATTGCAAATACCATGGCTTGGATCGGGTGCACCTTAGCCTTTAAACTAACACTCTTGCTCCTCAGTACTCTGGAGAGGTCCCTGACAACATCTTCCCTAGTGCAGTTAGTCTTTTGATTTCCTGGCTGCTGGGACCAAGAGTGTTGACTGTGGAGCCAAGAAAGCTGAAGTGGTTCACAATCTCAATCTCTTCACCCTCTATCATGATGATGCTAATTGGCCCAGTGGTAAGAATCTTTGTTTTCTTGATGCTGAACTTCAATTCACATTGAAGCCTGCAGTCCCTGACCCTCTGCAGCAAACACCGCAGGTCCTCCTCAGCTGCAGCAAACAAGATTGTCAGCTATGTAACACAGGTTGTTGGTGAATCTTCCTCCAATCCCTCTTCCTAAAGTCCAATCTCCTGAATAGTATGTTCCACAGATAGATTGAAAAGGTATGGAGATAGGATGCATTCCTGACGATCCATCCCTGATTTTGAACCACGCTGTTTCTTTGCTCTGTTCTGACAACTGCCTCCTGGTCCAAGTACTGGTTTCGCATGAGCACAAGTAAGTATTCTGCGATTCTCATTCTTCTCAGAGTCAGCCACAGTTTGTTGTGATCCATACAATCAAATACCTTTGCAGAGTCAATGAAACACAGATAGACATTCCTCTAGTACTCCCTGTTTTCAGCCAACATCCATCTGACATTAGCTATAATATCCCTAGTACCACGGCCTCTTTTAAATTTCACTTACACATCTGGCAGTTTTCTGTCAATGTAATGTTTCAATAGTTTTTGGATAACCTTCAGTAGGGTCTTGCTTACGTGTAATATTAGTGATATTGTTTGATAATTTTCACACTCTACTGGGTCACTTTTTTTTTTTTTAAGGAGAAAAAATATGGCTCTTTTCCAGTCAACTGGCCAGGTAGCTGTCCTCTCGATTTCTTGCCACACCATGTTGAGTGTGTCCAAAACTGCATCTGTTTGCTGAAATATGTCACCTGGTATTCTATCAATTTCTGGGGCCTTGTTTTTGACCAAATCCTTCAGAGCAGCTTAAACTTCCTCCTTCATCACCACTGGCTCTCGATCATAGGCTGTTTCATGAATTCTTCTATGTCAACCAGTTCTTTATGGTACAGTGACTCTGTGTACTTCTTCTATCTTCTTTTAATATTTCCTGGATCATGTAGTATGTCACAGCATCCTTAAGTATTGTCCTGTAATATTATTTATAAATCTGAAACTAAATTTAAATTTGAAAATTAAAAAAATTCAGAATCTATTTAAAACCAAAAGTGCCAGGTTTGCTGTCTTGAGAAGGTCATTGTGTCCTGAAATGAGACCCTCTGACAACAGGGGCACCTTCCTAGTTACAGGTGTGCTTGCTCCTAATCAAAACAAAGTTTAAATGAGTGAGGGCTTGACAGGAGTTCACTAACACAGTTGACCAGCTGACCAGGGAGAGGGGAAAGACGTTTGTCTTTCATGGGCGGGATGCTGAAGTGAAGTATCTCAGTCACAAAAGGACAAATACTGCATGGTGCCACTGTTGTAAAACAGGACTGACATCGGGGTTGTGGGGAGACTGAGAAAGATGGGTTCAATAATGTATACTGCATTGAAACAGATGAGGGAGAAAACTGTTTAAAAGGGATATGTGATTAGGTATTTTTGTCATAACAGGAGTGCAGAACGAAGGCTGCATAGTGGAGTGGACCTGGGGGGGAGGGATTGTAAAACAATGAAAGAATTTTTCTGTTACTTTTCCAAGAGGGTAGTGTACTAGGTGGGAGGGTTGGGAGGGGGAAAAAGTGCAACAATGAATGAATGGAAATCCAAAGTCTCTGTAAATTTTCACTGAAATTAATAATAATAAAAAAGAAGTGTAAAATAAAAAAAAAAAACAAAAAACAACAAAAAACAGTGCTCCTCTTAAGAAAGCACTGACTGCACACCTAGTATACGCCCAGCCACTGCAGGCACAGAGGTGAGAGGAAGGCTTGGAGCCTGCTAGGAAGCAGGTGCCAAAACAATGAAAACCAGCAAAAGATGTGCACAGAAGACATACTAACAGTACACAACTACATGGCACAGACATTCCACATGTTGTGTCATGAGTAAAATGCATATCATAACAAAATACCACTCTACACATAGCAAAAGTCTGTAGCACTGATAGTGCCTGGCTTTGGTGAGGCTGCGGGAGCGACTGGAGCTTTATTTTCCCTGTCAGTGGAAACACAGAACCACTTTAGAAGAGAGTCCAGTAGTTTCTACTCATAGACATAGATACAATCCAGCAGACCAAACCAGAGAGCAGTGTATGCATACCTGAAAACCAACATACAGAGGTTTATAGTAGCTCTGCATCACTGCAAAATGAGAAGCAACCCAAATAAACTCTGGTACATCCATAAAATAGAGCCTTATTCACTGATAAATAAAGAAGTGATCAGAACACAAAAAACCTCATGGAGTAATCTGAAATGCACACTGTTAAAAAATTACAGTGGTCTGAAAGATTGCTCTGTTTAACTCCAACTCCATACACTGGAAGAAGCGAGACCAGAGAAAGCGACAGTGAGGAGGGTGCAGGGGAGAGAGCCTAAGGAGGGTGTGGTGCAGGCAGTGGAACCCACTGTGACAAAGAGAATGCTACACCCCAAGAGTGTACCCTATAGAAGCAATGCCCACAGATATAAATAATCTATCAACTTTGTGATAATGTACCATAGAAACCATAGGAGAAATAAAATGCCTGGTGAGCATGGGAACCTTTAGACTTTTTACAAACAACTTGCTGGGTATAAGAGTGTAAGGTATGAGAGTGACACAGCTGTGACTGGGTGGGGGGTATAACAGGGTTGGGGGCTGTGACTGCCTGGAGCTGAGGAGCCATGGTGGGCTGCCCGGATTTCAGTGACTCGTTTTTGGTTTTGTTTTTGTTTTTTTTATGGTGAGAAAAATTTATTACATTTAGAATTAGCCCGCTGGACTCAGTTTAGATGATCCCAATTTTGTTGGCAACATCCAAA